TAAACAGCCTCTGGGATTTCAGATTAAATGTTCTAATCTTCATTTTTCCAGTCATACTTCAAGATTAACTTTTATATATATTAGCAGGCAAATGAACCACTATTTTTATCTATATCTTCAGATGTTTGATTTTGTACTATGAAAGGAGTGAATCCAAACAATGAATGCTCATCAAGAAGCCGTGATGAACAAGCAGACAGAAAATCAATAAGGATATGAAAGACTTGAACAGCTCCATAACTGACTTGGCCTAATTGGCATTTATAGAACACTCCAGCCAATACCAGTTAGAATACATAGCTCTTTTGAAGTGCGTACTACCATACCAATTTCTGGGCCATAAAACAAACCTTGATAAATCTTAATATTCAATTCATACAGTGAATTGCTGACCACAAAACGAATAATAGAAACTTCTCTGAAAAATATTCAATTTGGAAATTAGATAATACACTAAGAATAACCCATGGGGCAAAGGAAAACATTAAATATGAAATTACAAAGTATCTTGAATGAATTAAAATGAAAACTCAAAATATTAAACTTCTGAAGATTCCCTAGGCAGTGAATTTAGGATAGAATGAATCCCAGCACTAGAATAGAAAAAATAAATCTCACATTAATGACCTCAGCTTGTACCTTAAGAAACCAGAAAAAAAAAGAAGAGAACAAGTTAAAATCAAAGTATATAGAAAAAGGAAATAATTATTAGAGGGGAAAATCTATGAAATAGAAAACAAGAGAGGAAAAATCAATGACACAAAAACATGCTCTTTGAGAAGATCAATAATATTTATAAATTTCTAGCTAGATAAATCAGGAAGAAATGGTATAAGACACAAACTACAAATAGAATGAAAGAGGTTACATCATTAAAGATTGTATGGCTACTAAAGGGATAACAAGGGAATATACTATGTACAGTTTTATGTCAATAAACTGAACAACTGAAATGAAATGGGTCAAGTCCCTAAAATAAGAATAAATTACTTAAGAATAAATTAAGGGCTGGGGATATAGCTCATTGGTAGAGAACTTGCCCAGCACATGCAAGGCCCTGCATCAATTTCCAGTATACCAAATAAAATAAAATAATAATAATAATAACAATAAGAAGAATCGGAAAGACCTACTATACATTCATGAAATTAAACTATTAGTTAAATGGCTTTCATGAAGGAAATTCCTGGTCTACATTGATGTACTGTTAAATTCTACCAAACACTTTTAAAGAGATACAAGAATTATTTCTAGAAAACTGAAAAAGAGATGAGTTCCTGTTGTATGATGTTAGCATTACAGGAATAAAAAAGTGAAACATATCATGAGAAGGAAAACTACACACCAATATTCCTCATGAACAAAAATTAACAAAAATCTAAATATGTTTTAGCAAATGGATTCCAACAATTTATAAAAAGAATAATACTTTATAGCTAAATGCTATTTGTCTCAGCAACACATGGATTGGCTAATATTCAAAAATCAATCAGTATAATTCACCATGTTAACAAACTAAAACAAAAACAAATATACACACACACATACACATAACCTTCTTGATAGATATAGAAATCATTCGATTAAATTAACATCCATTTCTGATTAGGATACTTAACAATGTAGGAATAGATATTTTCAACATTATAAAAGAAATTTATAAAAGTTTAGTGACATTCATACCTGTTAAAGTACAGGATATATGCTCTAATAACTTTAACATTGTACTCGATGAATACAAAAAACGAATTATTCCCGTGTAGTGCAGCAAAAAATCATCAGAAATGGGAACTTAAAAATAATGCTACATGCAATAGGCTAAAACTGTGAAATACTTAGGGACAAATCTAATGTATACATATGTATATATAAAATCAGTAAGTAATATATATGTAAATAATCACTAAAAACTACATTGCTGAAAGAAAATAGAGGATCTAAATGAATGGAGTAATGGATTTTCTATTCATGAGTAAATCAGTATTATTAAGATGTCAGTTCTGCGAGGCATGGTGGCATATGCCTATAATCCCAATGGCAGGAGGATCACTAGCTCAAAGCCTGCCTCATCAACTTAGCAAGACCCTACACAACTTAGTGAAATCCTGTCTCAAAATAGAAAGGAGTAAGGATGTGACTTAATGGTTAAGTGCTTCTGGGTTCAATTCCTGGTACAACAAAAAGGAAAAAATAAAGATGTCATTTCCACCAAATTATTTTATAAATACAATTCAGTTCCTGCAATTTCAGTGTAATTTCTACAGAAACTGATAGATTTATTCCACGTGAAAATGCTGTAGACCAAACATAACTGAACAATGTTAGAAGAAAGATAATAAGAAAAAAAGAACACTAACATTACCTTATTTCACAATTCATTATAAAACTACAATAATCAAGACTGTATGATATTGTAGCCCCAGATAAACAAATATATCAATAGAACAGAATAGTCCAGAAATAAACCCACATACCTATAATTCATTGATTCTCAACAAGTATACAAAGGCAATTTGGTAAGAAAAGAATATATTTCAAGGGTTAAATTTCTCTCTCAGCATACAAATATTAATTAAACATTTATCCTAGATCTAAAAGTAAACCTTATACAATAAAACTTAGAGGAGAAGAAAAAAAGAAAAATTTTCATGGCTTTGAATTATACAATGATGATTTAGAATACTAATTAAAGAAATATGATATAGGGTTTCATGAAAACTAAAACCTTTTACTTCTAGAAAGATATTGTTATAAAAATAAAGGAAGATTACAAATTGAGAAAAAAATTTGCAAATCATAAAGCTACAGATAAAGGACATGTACTCAGAATATATAAAGAATAGTTAAAACTCAATACAAAATAACTAAATTCTTTTTAAATGGTAAAGGATTCAAAACGGATGTTTTATTATATACAAATAAAAAAGTTTAATAGCTTTTCTCATTGTAAATATGTAATTCTGACCACAATGAGATAACACTAGATCATCTAAAATTGAAAGACTCAATTATACCCAGTGGCTATAGGTGAGGATATGGAGAAACTGGACTGTGATTCACTTTTAGTTAGAATATGTGATAGTAACTTTTTAAAACTACCTTGGAAAACAGTTCAGCAGTGTCTTCAAAAATTAAACATATCCATCAGGTGATCTGGATGTCTCACTTGTAAGTATTTATCAACAGCAAATAAAAGCAAAGGCACATATAAGAACTTATACATGTTCACAGAAGTAACATGTGCAATAGCCAAAAACTGGAACAACTCAAATGTCTAAGTGAATAAATAAACAAAATGTTTTATACCTATATATTCTACAACATGCATGTATCTTGAAATAATCATGCTTAGTGAAAATAGGAAAATAAAAAAGAATAAACATTTTATGACTTCATTTATATAAAGTTTGAGAAAATGACAACCAATTATAGTAAAAAAGATTAAAGGAGGAGAGACAGGAGGAAGGATTTAAAAAGGGCATGAGAAAAACATTTCATAGTGGTGGACATGTGTCTAACTTGATTGTGGAGATATTTTCTCCGTGTAAATATGTCCAAAAATAGCATATTGTACCTTTTAAACATATACAGGCTATTTTATTTAAATTAGACTCTGACATACCTGTTTAGAAAAATAATTTTTTTTTATTAAGAAGTCTTAATTGAAAACGGGTGGGTGGGCACAGTAGCTCACACTTGTAATCCCAGCAGCTGGGGAGGCTGAAGCAGGAAGAACACAAGTTCAAAGCCAGCCTCAGCAACAGCAAGGTGCTAAGCAACTCAGTGAGACCCTGTCTCTAAATGAAATATAAAAAAGGGCTTGAGGTGTGGCTCAGTGTTTGAATGCCCCTGAGTTCAATCCCTTGTGCTCAAAAAAGAAAATGGGTGAATTCTAGAATCACTTGGTAACATACACTAAGAACTATATTTCCAGTGGTATTAACTTAAAATTATTCTCATATATACATTTTTATACAATGTGAAAAATACCCTCTTTGAGCCAATGCAATGATCCATGATTTAAAAGGATATATTCTAACAATACAATTTGTATATTATAACCTATATCACTAATGAATAATCATTGAGACAGTCATTATTAGAGTACAAAATCAAATATCCAAATTACCATACTAAGGACTTTTGTAAATTATTGTTCTACCTCTAGTTATCAAATGCAAATATATTTTATACAAAAAAATAATAGTAATGTTTTTCAAAAACCTTAAAACATTATTGAATCAATAAAAGAATATTGCAAATTCCAATAGATGTAGTCTACACTAAAGATGACAGCAGATTTTAGCTGTATTTTAACTACTAAGTAGCTAGTAAGAGATGCACATCCTCATCTTAAAATTAGAATAACAGGGATAGACATATGAGGGGAAATCCTAATCAAAGCAATAGTGGTAAAAAATATAGAGTGCCTTAATTTTACATCTAGTTAATGGTCCAAATTTCATTTTAGGCATTCTAAGTCTAGTCTTCAAAAGTTCATTTATTACACAATATTATTCAGGAATCAAGCTTAATTCCCAAAATATCCCTTAAGTAATATGTATGAAATGCACGAGTCATGGCACTGCCTATATCCATTTGCATCACTCAATCAAAATAAATAAGTATTTAAGGGGCATTGATGAACGGCATGTTGTCACTAGACAGATCAATTCTCTTATTAATAATAATAAAAACTGACATTTACATAACACCATTTGCACAGCAATTTTCATACTCAGTCTCCAAATATTTAGGCATTAATACTACCAATATTTCTGTGCATTATTTGGCAAACATTCTTCTCCATTTTCCTAATTTTTCAAGGAAAGCCCTAACTCATAAAATGACACGAACCTAGTGACTCTGTGTTTACTAAATCACAATCCATTTCTTTCTGCAAGGAAGAAGAAAAAATATATAATACATCTAGCATGAAATAGTTTGGCTACCCAACTAATGAAATATCCAATTGGCACCTGGGTCTTATCTATTCCCACCTTTTTATATGCGATCCAGTCAAACACCCTGTCAATATCTGTTGCCCGTAGCACTTCCTGGGATACAGGATGGGAACTGGCCAAACCATCAAGCAGCATCACTTCATGCAGAACATCTGTCAGAAACCTCTGTTTTTCCTGCAATACAGTAGATGGAACAATATCATAGGTGATTCATGTTTATGACAGATTGCGAGACAACATGGACAGAGTGTGTCATTTAATTGATGATGCTCATCAGTCTTACATGGTAAGACTCAAATCTAAAAGGAACTCAGTAAATAAAACACTGCCCTTAAGGTACTTTAAAACAAAGGTGGATGATTTGAGCATAACATGAAATAAAATCAATGGACTACGATATGCCCTTAAGAGATAGAAACAGTGGACTGGGAATTTATCAGTGGTTAAAGCAAATTTGGAAAGTGTACACATATGAAAATGATATGATACAGCCTTTTTGTGCATTCTACTGGGTCAAGATTATAATTCCAGCCATAAATAACCTTCTTAGGTAAGTTCAATATAAAAACACATTTTGCCATTTAGATCATTTATTTCTAGTCCCATCAGAACAAACAGCTCATTCTCTACCTACTACTCACTCCCACTACACACATTGGTCTCTGAAAGAAATTCAGGAGACCACATGATAAAAGGCACTATTGACATCAAACTATAATACCTGTTAATGTATATCTGAATTCAGAATAATGGACATAAAGTGGAAATCAATAAGTATCAATAATCCATTATGATGAAGTAGTGAAAACAGACAAAATCGTAAGACTTCTATTCTCTGCAACTTGACCTATTAGTATTTGCTCTAATAAAATCAGATTTTTAAGTGAGAAATAAATGTAAAGAGAAGATACCTCTTTGTTGTTTTGTTTTAAGAAATTTGGCTTTAAAGAAACACCTTGAGTTTTGTTAATAAATATGCTGGCTCCATTAGTCTTCCTGGCCTCCTGCCTTCATTGATGGAGGAGTGAAAGAAAAAAGAAGTTGCAGGAGATAATAAGGGCTAAATAGCCCCTAGCTAGTTGGGACCTGAGGAGTATCATTACAGAGATTAAAGACTCCAGTGCTTAAATTGCTGGACCTAATTCTGAACTGATTCCTGAAGCCTCCTAGTTTTGAGATAGCAGATAAACAGCATGTTATTTAGGAGTGAGTTGTAATTTCAAGCTGAGAGTACACCAATCCTGAACTTAAAGAAATGGAAGCAGAGAATGAATAGGTTAAGGAAAGAACAGTTAGTCTGGCTCAAAAGAAACATTTTTTGTTCATCTTTACTTGCTCAATGATTTAGTATTTTTAAGTAATAATTTAATTAATTAGCCAACTCTCTTTTGAAAGGCTTATTTTCTAGTAGCTCAGATTTTTAATTTTCTATTGTCCATATATCTAATTTTTTCAGCCTTCTTTTGTTCTAAGAATGTCTATGCTCCATCAAAGAGTTTACAATGACAGAACCAAACCATATTCTGAGACCCAGAGGGCTGCTCCAGACCCCAGGAGGCCACAGTGACAAGGTCAAGCTTAGCCTGAGTTAAGTGACAAACATGACATGTCATGTATGGATTTCTTCTTGAATTATTTCCTCACTCAAGACAAATTAAGGAAAGAAGAATTGGATCCAATGATTTAAATTTTTTAAATTACTATGATTTATGTATACAATGTTTATTTTAAGTCCGCTAAAAAGCAACATTAAGATCTTATACAAACAGCCTGGACTTAGCCAATAAGGGCAAAGCATGTAACAATTCCAAAATGAAAATTTAAATGTTATTTTTAAGTGGTTGTCCAATACAGTTACTCATTCAATTTTAAAATACATCTTAAAACTATCTCTTATTAGAATTAGAGGGAAAATCATGAAATGGGTAATGATACTTCAACTTGACCAATGAATACTTTGGTTTCTAAAGTACCAATTAAAGGTGTGATTCCATTCTAAAGTTAAAATAATATTCAGCTCTTTAAATAGTAATTGCCTGATTCATGTCACTCAAATTTCTAATCTAAAACCAAATGCAAAATGATGCTTTATTGGAATCTTAATTTTTAATATTTAGCAACAATAAATACATGTTGACCAATATTAAAACTTAATAAGTATATCTTTGATTTGCTATGGATATGAGTTTTAAGTGGTATAAAATAAATGGCTATATGATCTTAAAGATGAAATCTAAACTAAATTTCAAAGAGAAAACTTGTTAAAGGAGATACAAATTATATATAAAATATTGTTTCATGCTTCTTTCTGGGTAAAACAAACCTTTGCCTAGCTAATAAAATTTCTTTTTTTTTTTTTTCATTTTCGTTGTGCTGTCTACGATCTTTAGTTAATAGAATTTCAATAAATAGATTTTAACTTTAGCAGGGTTAAGTCATTAGTAAAACATCCATCTTCTACCTTGCTGGGGAGAAATGGTAGTGCATAATAGAGAAATGCTAACATGCATAAAGAGTTTGGCGGGGCAGAGGGACTGGAAGCACTCACAAAGCACAGAAGACAGAATACTTAAATTGAGAAGGAAAAAAAGAAAATTCTAGCCAGAGGCAAGCCCAATTTAACAGAACTACAAAGAGCTTCCAGGAGTGAAGGTACTAATTTTTTTATAAAAACCTGCTTCCCTATAAAATAAGAGATGATCTTAGCTTGTCAGTCCTGGGCTACAAACCTCATCATCATCAAAATCAAGCAGTGCAAAAACTACCAAGTATTGATTAATTACCTACTGTTTATCAGGAACTTTAAGAGTCTAAAAATGAAGGAAAAGAAATCCTAGCTCCAATGTTAGAGAAGAGATAAAACAAAACAGTTGGCCACAGAGAGTGAAATAATAGTTTTCTCACACGGACTAGAAGTGCTAAAGGGATTTTCAGAAACACAATACTCTAAATAGAATTACTTATGGACAGTTTATTGGAAGAGGTAGAATTTGATCTGACCCTTGAAGGAACTTTGAAGTTTAGTGTGTGGTATGGTGTGCGTGTGTGTGTGTGTGTGTGTATTTTCACTTTTTATTAGTTCCTTTTAATTATACATAATATTAAGGTTCTTTTCAACAGAATTAGACAAGCATAGAATAGAATTTGCTCTAATTCAGTCCTCAGTACGTCCTTTTTCTCTTCCATTCTCCCTCCCCCATTCCCCTTCCTCTAATCTACTGATCTTTCTGCTATTTATTTATAGTGTTTTTTTTTTAATTAGTGCCTTGTGGATATACATGAAAGTGGGATTCACTGTGGTATATTCATATATGTGAATAGGAAAGTTTGGTGAGATTCATTTCACCATTCTTCTCTTTTCTTATCATTCCTCCCTCCCCCTCAATCCCCATCCTCCTGTACTGACCTCTCTTCTATTTCATGGAATCCCACCCCCTATCACCTTTACTTTTTTTTTCCTTCCTTTTTGGTCTAGCTTCCACATATCAAAGAAAATATTTAACCTTTGACTTTTGGGGACTGGCTTATTTCACTTAGCCTGATGGTCTCAAGTTCTATCCATTTATTGGCAAACGCCATAATTTCATTCTTTATTGCTGAGTAAAACTCCATTGTGTGTGTATATCACATTTTCTTTTTCCATTCATCTATAGAGTAATACCTAGTTTGGTTCCATAGCTTGGCTACTTTGAATTGTGCTGCTATCAACACTGATGTGACTGCATCGCTATAGCATGCTGGTTTTAGATCTTCTGGGTATACATTGAGGAGTGGAATCACTGGGTCATATGATGGTTCCATTCCTCATTTTTTCAGGAATCTCCATAGTGTTTTCCAGAGTGTTGGCACCAATTTGCAGTCCCACCAATAATGTATGAGTGCTCTTTTTCCCCCACAATCTTGCCAACATTTCTTATTGCATTCTTGATATTGCCATCTGACTCTTAACTCCAAATTTTAAGGTCATCCTGATCAGTGATCTACCACTTTCAAAAATTAGCACAGTAAAACAAAATAAATAACCTTAAAATCTGTTTGAAAGAGATCCAGCTAGGCATGGTGGCACATGCCTGTAATACCAGCAACTCTGGAGGCTGAGACAAGAGGATCACAAGTTCCAGGCCAGGCTCAGAGAGACTTGTCTCAAAATTAAAATAATAAGAACAAAAGGGATTGTAGTTCAGTGGTAAAGTGCCCTGGATTCAATAACCAATATTAAGACCAGTAATAATAATAATTAATAATAATAATAACAACAACAAAATAAATAAAAGTAGTTCAATATTAACAGTAACCTACCACCTTAACATACACACAGGATAGTGTTGTTTCATACGTGTTTTCATTTACCCACTTACGATAATATCAAATGTATCAGTTTGTTTTCAACTTTTTTCAAAAAAAATACTCCATTTGCATTTTTGGAGAAATGCTTAAAGGCATTTTGGAAAAATAAAGAAAATGAGAGTAAACATGCAGAGTTGATAATGAATATCATAAAGCCATTATTTCATTTACTCATTTTATATATATAATATATATTATAATTATCATATTATAACATATAATATGATAGTAATATATTTATGGTGAACATTCAACAACTAGTATAAATATAAATATATATAAAATTCCTATTATATTCCAGATATGGTGCTACACTGGAGAATAAATATATGACTACAACCTAGTTCGTAACCTTAAAGATCTCAAGAATAGAAGATAAAGACTGATAAATAGCAAACTGTATTAGAATATGATGGATGCTACAAAACACAGAGGAGGAAATGATTAATTAGTTCAGAAAGGCTTCACAGAGGAGGTGACATTAAAGTGAACTGTTGAAGGATGAGGGTTTACTCAGATGAATGGAGGAAGAGCTATAAAAGGGCACATCCAAGACAGAGGAAACATGCAAAAACAGCCACTCTGTTTGAATCCTCAATTATCAGGTTGAAGAGCTTGGTCTTAATAAATGGGCAGTAGCAAGCATAATGACATAATGAAAGTAGTATCTTAGGAAAATTGCCTTATCTGTGTTGTACAGGATGGCTTGATGTATGCAGAGCCAGGAGACAGGAAGTGACTATTGTACTGAGGGATTATGGTGTTGGTGTATTAAAATAAGGTGTTGCTGAATGACAGCTGGATCTGAGAGATCAACAAGTCTATGC